CAACATACATCTCATTCATAACTCACCATAGTACCTTCCTCGGCTGCAAGACCTGCATGATGGCAAATGCTTCCATCAAAACTGTCTCTATCTCCATACCAACAGTCTCTTGGCCCAAGGGGTCTCAGCTCGAGTTCAGAAGGACAGTCATTGTCATTCAATTTCCGAACCAAGTCGTTGGCCGTGCCAGGCATGTTATGATGCCCGATATTCCATGAGGTAATATGCGCTTCTGCAGTGCCATTACTCGAATAATTTCCATAGCCTAGTCAAGGTCGTAGGATGGAGACAAAGAAGAGGGAATTGTATTCCAACGCCAAACAGGGCTCCTGGGGTTCAAGCGTGAGGATGCGTACAAGTGTTCAAGTTCTCCGCAAAGTCACATTTAGCGGATGCGTTCCGCCCAACGGTTTCATTGTTTGCCCGCTGTAGCCCTGGCTACTGCTTGAACCAGGGATGGTTGCCCCTGATATGCGCATGATGGCCCCACTTGCCTATATGCTGCCGTTCAAAAAGGGCAATGTGGGTAGGTAATGTGACACTTGCAGAAGATTTATAATGATTTGACCTTTTGATGACAATATTCGTTCCCCCCCTTTTCCCACAATTACAACAATATAGAGCAGAGTGACAACTAAGAGAGCGATGTCTGAAATCCACAGTTTGACAGGCTTATTCAACCTGGCAAGGCAATCATCTATCGCTGTGTCTATCTTGATCAGTCTTTGCTCGCTGGCTGTATGGCGCCTCTTTCTGAGCCCAATACGGGATATTCCTGGTCCAAAATGGGCATCTCTCACTCGACTATGGCATATGAACGAAATCTGGGGTGGCCATCAAAACATCACAATCCTCGAACTTCACAAGAAGCATGGTATGGATCAAAGACTTGTTCACTATGAGGCTAGGACGACTTATCTTAACTTTATTGTTAGGTCATTTCGTCCGCATTGGACCCAATGAAGTCAGCGTAACGCATCCTGAAGTGATAAAAAAGATGATATTGACCCCACAACTTAAGGTAACACCATCCAAAAGTCCTTCATACGACTCATTACTAAAAGCAATATTAGGGTCACTGGTACAAAATGATGGTGAGCCCTAGAATAGATATTCATTTCCATTCAAATCAAACAATGCAGGCGATCTATGTAAACATGAGTATCATATCTAACCCGTGACTTCCACAGAGGTTTCCCGACTGGAGGTGAGCTTGCATTTCAAGGCGTCGTGGACACCCTTATTGCACATACATTGAGAGAAACTAACTAATATTTGCTAGATTTCGCACGCCGATGTCTGTCCTAGAACCCAGGGCGAAAGTCGAGTTGTCGAAACAGTTGGCATCAGCATATGCTATGACCAATGTCATCAAATCGGAGGAGCATATCACCGTTCAGATCGAAGGTCTACTACAGTGGTTAGATAAGTATGCGAACAGTCACGAACCTATGGACCTTGCCAAATTCTTCACGTTCACGGCATTTGACATCGTGGGAGAAGTTGTGTTCTCGAAACCCTTTGGCTTCCTCGAGAAAGGTATCGACATTGACAATTGCATTGCTCAGACACTGCAGTTTGAGTGTTATATTTCCATTGCAGCTTTCGCTCAGTGGCTGCACAACTTATTGGTAGCAAATCCTGTTGTTACTTGGCTTGGCATCATGCCTACCAACTACCTCGCTAAAACGTCGAATCTTGCTCTAGAAGCACGGAAGAAGAATCAAGAAGCGCGTTTCGACTTTGTTGCTCATTGGTTAAAAGCTCATGAGAAAAGCCCTGACAAGCTATCTTATCGTGATCTACAGTCTGCCGTCATGGCCAATGTTGGGTTCGTAAATTTCGCCCATATCAAACTCACAATTTGATTACCAAATGATCCGTTTTGCTAATGGTATAAACAGAGCCGGGTCGGATACAGTTTCGTGTGCACTTCAATCCACTGTCTACCATATGATCCGGCACCCCAATGCTTGGCAGCGCGCCCGCGAGGAGATTGACCGAGCTAGAGATCAAGAGGGAATCTGTATTGACCGCGTCATTTCTTATACAGATGCGCAAAAATTGCCATACTTGCAAGCTTGCTTCAAAGAAGCGCTCCGCATATTCCACCCCGTTTCTATGGGAACCCCAAGGGTTGTCCCCAAAGGTGGTATCAGTATTGGAGGTCGCTTCTTCACTGCAGGGACTACGCTCTCTTTAAACACATTCAGCATGAACTTGTCCAAAGATGTATGGGGCCCAGATGCCCAGGAATACAAGCCTGAAAGATGGATGGTGGAGGACCCGAGCGCTCTCGAAAGAAATTTCCTACCTGTGAGTTCGCCATTCTTCCAGCTAAGGACAACTGCTAATTCTTTGTAGTTCTCAGGAGGAATTGGTGCATGCGTTGGTCAACATTTGGCCAAGGTTGAAATCTTTAAGATACTCACTACAATTATACGAGATTATGACATCGAGCAAGCGCAGGTGGGCCATGAATGGAAGTATCATGCTTATTTCACCGTGGTGCCCGGCGACTGGCCTGTGTATATCAAGAAGAGAGCTCTCTAAACGGAACAAACGCCTAGTACGTACTACACCTAGAACAAGATCAGTAGTCAAGGACTGGGATCTAATATGAGTAATTCTGCCGTTTAGTTAGTTTATCAAGTACTCATAATCAACTTATTTAGAGTATGAAGAAGAGAGATAAGTCACACGGATAAATGAACGTCCTCTATCACTAAAACGTCATCGGTATTGCCGCGAAGACCATTTACAAGCAATGTCTTGTTGTTAATATCCAGTTCAATGCCAATTAGACATATGGCCTCTAGAAAGCCTACCGGGTCTGATCCCAAGAATATACCACGAGGTTGATAGTAAGTCCTAGAGGTTAAACCCCTTCAGATAGTATATGAATAGTAGTAATTCTAATTTAAGTCTAGATTCGATCAGCGATACTCGAACCATTCCTTGCCACGCCAGAACTTCTGCCCTCCACGAAACGAATGTTCGATCTTTTCTTTGGCCCTCTGACCCATGCGTAGCTTACAACTCTCTAGAATCCCCCTTTCGATGCCACACTTTCCAATAGAGTGAGCTAGATCAGCCGCGTTACGAATTGCCGTATCGCCGCCGGATCCTCCCATAGGACTCATAGGGTGCGACGCGTCCCCAATCAGGATTACTTCCTCCGTCCTCAATCCCGAATCCAATTCGATATCTGGCTTGCTAGACAGCACTGGAATACAACTTAAGAGCTCATGAGAGGCCGCATCCAGTATCCGCCGAAGGTCGGGATGCCAATTACTAGAGATATTCCTCAAGCGTTCCTTCCTAGCTTCTTCCGTCGTTGGAAGTGGCTCTGCACCCTCGGGTGATGCGACAGCCCAATATAGATAATCCTGAAACTCTGGCAGAATGCCTTTGCAGTTTTCCCTTGCTGCAGGATTCCACACCATTGGTTCGACAATAACCTGGCGATTTTCATCCTGGTCCAACGCCATGAACCAGGTTAAAGCATCGGCGGGTAGTTGTCTGTATATCTCAGGTGTCAATACGGTTCTACCCCATAATATCCAGCGTTCCAGGTCGAGGAGTTTTCGAGATGGCTGTAGTTGCTTCCGTACCCTGCTTCCTATTCCATCTGCCCCAATGAGAAGACAGCCACGCGCCGATGACCCATCAGCAAAACTGGCTCGGACTCCTCCTGCGGACTCTAGATCAAGCCGGGAGAATTCACGTTCATATTCGATGGCATCCTCGATTCCTAGCGTCAGAAGCATCCGGATCCACGCTCGGTCCACGGGCATGCTCTCTGGGCCCGTAGCGAGTACTGGTGCATCAAATCTGAACTCTCGGGCATCCACGTAACGAGGTGCATACCGAGCTCGCTCAGGTGCGGTCGCCTTAAAGATATCGTGAAGCTTCGGTGGCAGCACGCTGATCAGTGACGCCATACCGTCCTGCGATATTCGAAAGCGATGCCCTTGCAATTTACGGTTCTGGGAATACCGTTCGTACAGTCGGAAGGGAACTGAATGAAGTCGAAGACCCTGGGCAAGCACCAAGCCTGATATCCCAGCTCCAATAATGATTACCGGAAGATCCGAAGTTGGTCTACTGGGTATACCCATGATAAAATGATCGGGTTTGTTTATCAAGTTAATTGTTCAGATTATCAAATCGTAGGTCAATCAAGACATTCCGCAGAGTAGAAGAAATGCAGACGCGGTACATGGAGCATACATAGCCATATGTCAATGAGTGCGTGATTTTCTTCTACTCTCCGTCACTCAATGATCGTTTACAGATATGTATATGTAGTAAGACGGGGAGCTTTGGGCTTTCTAGCTAACTGCTTAGGTTAGATATTTTCGTATCGGTACTCGAATACAAGTCAATGAAGCGGTCACTGGTCTGGCAGGGGCTGGATTGCTGACAGGCTCGCCGTGAGCTCCTGCAGCCCCGCTTCCTGTCACCATAGCGTATCAAATGCCACTGGTTAGTCTTCTGTCTTACTGGTGTTGGGGCAGCTATTCGTGGACAATTCTTAGATAGCTAAGTTATCAAGCACCTGGCATGAAGCCGCCGAGGTCGGAACTGGGCCGAAACTTGTCAACTAAAGGAAAAGTGGTAACAAGCTACACGAACCCAAAATATAAAATATTTATAGGTAACATAACAGTCTGAACTTTGGTATACTTGGGACCTGACTATAATACCAGCACAACATTAAGACGTACGTAATTATCCCTGCTAAGCTCAGCACCGCACCACCACCCCAGAGTTCTCCCGCGCGACTAGGGGCCCGATCTTAGAGGCCGACCCAAGTAAACTTCACGGCTTGGCTTAGCTAACCGAGCCCACTCCCATTTATCAAGTGGTTATCCACCCCGATTGGAGTAGCTAAACTTTTCACCTGGAGATAGGCGGGGCGGGCTCTTCACATTTCTTTATGTCATGGAGTGAAATAAGTACCGCTTCTCCCATCCAATCAGATACCAAGATTAACGGGTGAGATGGCCGAGTGGTTATGGCGCTGCGTTCAGGTCTACCTGAATTCAAATTCGCAGTGGAGCAATCCGCGTGGGTTCGAGTCCCACTCTCATCAACAATTTCTTTTTGGGTTTTCATTTGGTGTTTTCTTTTTACCTCCCAATTATGGGTTAAGCATATGCAAGTTCCTTCTTGGGGCAATGCTAACTTACCATTTCTCTTACTGTCAAACTTTTTTCCCACCTGGCGATGTACGTATGCAATAAAGGGAAGAGGCGACAGGGGACCTTAATGTGTTGGCAGATTATGGCTTGTATCTGATTGACCCCCAAGATGCATTGTATTGCCACAAAAGTAGAGTCAAGTAAATTTATTTATAGCTACATTTGTCTCTTACGGAGACTCGTGGCCTTGATCCAGGTCATCATCCCATTTGCGTCGAGGGCTGGGAGCAGGGCTAGTTCTCATCTTCGGCCTGCTCTTAAAGATGGCCTCCATGTCCTCCTGCGGAGCCTCCAACAGCACGTCCAGCACCGACGTGTCGCCCGTCTCGTCTTCTTCCATCAGCCGAGGGAAGTGGCTCTCGTTCCTTGTCACTGCCCTGCTCGTTCTCTGTGAGCGTCTTCGCTCCATCTGTGCCTTTTGCCTGGCTGCCTCGAATCCTGCCATGGACCGTCGTGTCCGGGCTACCAAGTCTTCGTACTCCTCACCCGGAACAGACTCTGTCTCTGTGATGGTAGCCGCAGGAGCAGTAGAGCTGCGAGAGCCATTTGGAACTGTGGGAACAAGCATATTCGTGTCATACTCATCGTCAGCCTCGAAGGACTTGTTGCGTTTCATAGACATCCGAGTGCGCTCGGCGAGTGAGAGCGTGTGACGCTGTTTTTTAACAGGCGAAGGTGACGCATTCGACATTGAAGCCAGAATCTGGTCAGCCATCGCTTGTGTCGGAGAGATTGGCCTAGGCGGCGACGCAGGCGGATCTGCTTTTGCCTCCTTTCTGGACCTAGGTACCTGGTTTAGTGTAGGCGGCGGAGAAAATGCATCCCAGTCTGAATCCTTTTCGTCCTGATCCATGGCAATAATATCTGTTGTAGGTTGAGGTACTGCTGAAACGTCTGCTGCAACGTCCGATTCTGGCGTGGATACCTTCTCGGGGTAAGAATGATTGGATTGGTCATCTTCGCAGCTAACATCTTCTTCTTTAGCTTTACGTTTAATGACGGGTCGTTTCTGTTGTGACTGGGCCCGAGACAACTGAGTTGGAAGTCTCCTGGCAAGCTTGGAACTTGGAACGGGTAAGGCTCTCTGGGGTTGGGGTTCCTCTGGCTCATCCTCCCACTCGCTCAGATCCGATATGGTATCTGTAGTAGCACTTGGCACTCGTAAGTCTAAGAACTGCTGAGATATTCTTCGCGAGGTCGCCAGTTTGGAGAAGTCTGGAACGCGGGGCTTTACGATGCTGTCAAGCTCTGAGCGCATGTTTTGCAGGAGAACAGCGTAGTCAGGAGGTGGAGTTGGTTTCGCGAATTCGTTCACGTCGGAAGCAGGTGCGGCACCGGGGCGCAATGCCTGGTGAGCTGTGAATTGGAGATCCACTCCGCGCTGTTGTGTTTTCGAGGGAGCTACTACTGCTTCAGCAGATGCTGCTTTAACCCTGAACAGTTTCTGTCGAAATCCTTCCCATTTCTCCAGTCTTGCCTGCTGTGTCCGGACTCTATGATCCAGCTGCTCAAGCAAGCCGGTGCTCTTGTCCTCCATGTCGGTTAGTCGACCTTGTCGCACTCCGCTCCAAACTTGCTCAAAGTTGGTGGCCAGCAATCCGCCTTGCTGAGATCCGGTGTCATCGTACAGAATAGCTTCTACCCATTGGTCACTTCCAGTCCAGTTTGTCCTCAGGCTCTTGAGTGTGCGATCCCTAAGTCGGGCCGAGATCTCTTTGTTGCTCTGCCCCCCTGCAGCAGCCTTGATCTGCTCCTTTCTCCTTGCCAACCCACGAGCCTTTAATTCTAAGAGCTCTTCAAAGTCCCGGTATCTCTCTCTTGCCGCATTTTTCTCAGCCAGCGCGGCGCTGATGGATACCTTGTGTGCCAGAATGAGCCCATTGAGCTCGGTCCGCTCCCCCGAATAACCCCAGTTCTCCAGCGCGATCTTCTCCGATACGGTTGGGCGGTACTCAGGTCCCGAATTGAGTGCCCTTTCGGCGACGAGTCTCTTAAGCACGGCGGATGAGAATACGGCTAATACTTCTTCCAATCGTTCACCCTTGCACTCGTCAAGCATGGTCTTGCGTATAACAGCATCGCGGCCAAGAACGCCATTGCGCTTCGCCTGCTCGAGAGCTCGGAGGAGTGCAGCGCGCAGGTTGAGGGACTGGACTTGGTCTAGCGGTGGATAGAAGGGCTTGAGCTTGTTGCGGGCCTCGTTATCGTCCCAGAGAATGAAGAGGTGGTACAGAGCCCACTCGACGCAGTGTATCCTCTTCTTCTGGCCTCCGGCGGCATCCCTAGCGGAGAAGGTGGCGGGCGTGATGTCGGGCCAATCGTGCTCCAGGTCGAGGTCGAGGAGGCGGAGGTTCGTCAGGAAGAGTGAGACATGGGAGGTGTTGCTTGGAATGGGCGCGGCGGCGGAGGCCGCGGAAGGTGGAGGGGCAGCGCCGGCGGGCTTGGGGGGCACGCGCAGCGATTTGGTGTTCATGCGCGAGGGCGCCGTGTGTGTCTGTTGGAGCGACATGTCGACATCGTTCCGCCCGGCTTAGGACATGGACATGAAGAGCAGCGCTGGCGTGACTTTTGCAATGTGTGCAAATTGCACAGGGAAAAGCTGTTGAGAAGAATGGCGCGTATGTGTGCAGATGATCCGAGGCGGTGAGGTGCCGCATCTCTTGCGGTACAAGCACGTTGTTGCGCAGTAGCTCAGTTAGTGATCAGCCTAGCATTGATTTATTGATTTGACACCAACGGGGTTGTTGACTTGGGAGGTGTGGTAGCCAATCGGAATGCACGATTGGTACTCAGCTTGAGGGGACGCTGGGGCAGCAGCGTCACCCCAACCCTACAGCCAGTGGGTTTTTAAACTCTGACAGTCTTCATCATTCCAGGATCTGTTCTCCATAGGTAGAGCGAATGGAATAAGCGAGGACGTCGAATGTCTCCCAATTGCCCGCCAAATGTTAACATTGTGCGCTTCCATAGCTTTGAAGAAAATCCCTGCACCACAGATATTGTTCTCTACTACGTTTGCAGATGCTTTGGAAGCCCCCCAGCCTGAAACATCTGGAATGCTGCACCATGCCCTCAGTTTTTGATACCATAAATGTAGAATATGAAGCAGCATCATGACTCCTATGGTTTAATACCTCCAAATTGGAAGCGACTGAAGTAGAAGACACTGTGGGCGTTAGAGTGCATGTCCTTGGCTGATCAGACATTTAACTCTTAAGGACATCCCTATGATTCTACCCAATATCAATTACGATGCATATCTAGACAAGGAATCCCATATGGAAGCCAGGCGTCGGTGCGCTAGCGGTGCAGCATCCGGTGGCCGGTTTCTGGCGACCCTCGCTGGCCGAATAGTGGGCAGATAAAGTCCGACAAATAGTGACTAATACCGATTGCGCCACAGCCGAGGATCCCCGAGATCTGTTCCGCGTAATCTCATCCGCCGCGGGCGCTATCGCACCTTTTTTTTTTTTTTTTTTTTTTGGTTCTTTTACTACACCCCCCACCATATCTCCCACAGAGAATGATTCCTCGGTAGATACCGCAAATAGCGAACAGAGTCCGGATCCCCTTTACGTCGCCATGTCGTGCACCTGCGTCTCCCGCGCCGTCCTCCGTCGGCAGCTGGAGTGCATGCGCCAGCAGCGCTTACCAAAAGTGGCCCGGCGCTTTGAGTCATCCTCCTCCACCAGCAGCGGCGCAACATCTACCACGACTGCGACCAAGGGCCAAGCTGAGGCCGCGACGGCGTCGGTGGTGAAGAAGCTGGGGCCCTTCTCTCGGTTCGGCCAGTTTTACGCACGATTGCAGAACAAGCGCCCCTACTCGACGCAGCTGGCGACTTCGATCTTCATCTGGTTCTGCTCTGACCTCACGGCGCAAACGATCGACGGCAAGGAGTACGACCCCTGGAGGACCCTCAGATCTATATCTATCGGCGGAATCGCCGCGATCCCTGCCTTTTGCTGGTGAGTCTCTATCGCGGTCTTGTCACTAACACGACACACAAATGCGATTTCCCTAATTTGGAGCACGAATCTAACAAAATGCCTCGTCCCTTCAGGTTCCGCTGGCTGGGCACCTCGCCTCTGTTCAAGTTCGATTCTGTCAACATCTCGATCGCCGCGCGAGTCGCCATCACGCAGGCTGTGTTCACGCCGACATTTAACTGCTACTTCTTTGGCTCGCAAGCCCTCCTGTCCGGCGAACACCCGTTCTTCTCCGTCGCGAACCTCGAATCGGCATGGCTGAGGATCAAGACCACAGTCCCCGTCAGTATCGTTAGGGCTACCACCTTCTGGCCTGCCGTTACGGCCCTCAACTTCAAGTTTATACCTCTCGACTACCAGTTCGTCTTCCAGAACGTCATGCAGTACTGCTGGCAGACATACTTGAGCTTCCTCAACAAGCAGAGGCAATTACAGGAGGAGAGAGAATTGGCGGGTGTAGCTTCGGCAGAGAGCGTCGCAACAGCGGTTGTGTCGCCTGTGATTGCCAAGCAAGCGGTCATTGCATAGATTTCGTATTCCAGATTTCCTTTGTTTTCGCAGAAACTATTCTACGCTCTCAACTGCATGGCAGATAGTCACGATTGATAAGACATATACTTGGTTAGCATATAGACATACACATACGCATATAGAGCATTTAGTTGGCTCCGGCATCAAGCCTGAGTCGAGACGGAGCGAACCCAAGATGGGACACACCGATAACCTTTTCTGATTACAGTTGCAGATATACAAAATATACATAAAGAATTACTTATTTGCGGGCTTTCCCCCGTAGTTCGGGTCGTTGCTACCTCAAATTTGGCGTCCGTGTTTAGGAGTTGTGCCGTCTGCAGTCAGGGGTTGGTTTCAATACGAGAAACATCCCGTCCCTTGGCGTCCGT